AAAAATAATTATAGGGTGGCTAATGCCAAAGAAAGGATGACTGAAGCCACCCTTAAGTAGGTCTAACGACGCTTATGGACTGTTGGTTAGCGAAATTGTATGCTGAGCTTTATGGGGAGATCCAGTGGATTGCATGAGCTGATACTACAGCTTCACTCAGGTATGTCCATGATGAGCAAACATGACATGACAGTGGGGAGGAAAAACTCCCAGTTGGGAAGAAACCTCCAGGAGAACCAGCCTCAACATGGCGGTCTTCTGCCGGACCAGTTGAGACCAGACAGGGAATGCAGTAAGTAGTAGAGTCTGGGAGGAATGACACTATGATCAATCTTTAGCTATGATGGTGGAGGAGGGGCTGGAGGTGGGTTAAATTGGTGTCATCTGAATGAAGTCACACAGCGTATCCGCTGCCTGCGCACAGGAGCAGACAAGTGCGTATCGGAGGCCTTTTAAGATGAACTTTGGATGCAGATTGGCTTTCATGGAGGTGTGGTTCAAAGCTTATTGGCTGTGACACAGTTGGATATAGGAGAGCAATCAGTTTCTTCAGTTGAACGTCCGCCAAGGCTCCATGTTATTTAAACATGGCTGAAAACCAGAAAACTGGGAGATAATGTGCAGACTCCATGTAGAAGGAGCCAAAACTAAAACCAGTAGTTTAGGTGACACAAACCTGGATCCAGCAAATTTTATTATTTAGATATGACTATATCAGAAGCATTCAAATGCAATCTATGAACACATTTCAACACCAGTTCAAGGTAATAAATTATTTCACTAAAGGCTGTTAAAGTAATTGAGTTATTCACAGACAGGAAAGTTTGAATGGTTTCTGAAAAAAACTATTTTATTGAAAGCTATGGCAGAATAATTTAAACCACCATCAGAAACATAGATGAAGATGTAAAGCTTAAAAAACAAAGAAAAGAAAGTCAATGCATGAGTAATTAGTAATATTATGTTTTTGAAAGTAAAAAATACGACAAAACTCAACATTAATAGGTTATTTTCTTTAAAGTTTTTTAATTTTGAAAGGTTTGACTTTAACGTACACAATAAGCAAACAAAATGAGTGATTCGTTAAAGAACATTTTCTGCAAGCTTTGCTGGTAAAACCATCTTTATAATCATTTATCGAGCTCTCGCAATATTCTTTTCATGGTACATAATTATGTTAAATGAAATGCACCTAACAAAACTGAACATTTACCTGTAATGATGTTACAACCAGATACATTTCTCACATAAGAAATGAAACAAATGAACAAATGAAATATATTGAAAATAAACCAGCAGGAAAAGTTTAAGGCCCACATGGTATTCAGACAAAATTCTATTAGCATTTTGTCCTAAAACATAACTTTCTAAGTTACTGACGTGGCTGTCCTTTAGCCAAGTTTTCCAAGTGATAAGGAAACCCACCATAACAACTCACTCTAATATTTGTTGCCATCAAAGGCCGACCCTTGTAGTTACAATTAGGATATAAGCTTCCTCTAACTAGTGTACAGTCAACAATAGGAAACCAAGAGTGACTTGTTGCTGAAGGGGAACCTGTGTTACAGATCGTTCTTAACTGATCATTTAGGTCAATGATAAAGGTATTTTCCCACTTGCAGTCACCAATTTGAGCATTGATTCTCTGCATCCCTCCATTGCAATGCCGTGCTAACATCTGAAAACGAACAACGTGCTTGTCAAAGAAGGTCAGCAAGTCTGCTGCAGGAAACAGCAACATATGGAAGGCAGCTGTGAGGATCTTCATGGTCAGCTGCTGAAAATTCATCACAAAGAAACCAATAAGAATCCCAAACATGTCAATTTTTCTCTGAACCTTTATATTTTCAAAGAGTAACTTACAGAGGTTGGTTGGCTGGTGTGTGTCCAGAGATCTGATCGTTATTAAAGGAGAATGAGCTAAAAATACAAAAAACAGGGAAAAGAATTGAAAAAAATTTCCCTATGTAACCGTTTTAATCAAATAGATGGAGACAAACCTCTTTCAACGTTATAAAATAGGTGTGTTATTTCCTCTCACCTGCTGTGTAGCTTGAATTTGAAAGCTTAGGTAGTTGTAGATTCAATCAGCTCAGGGAGTCAGCACAGAGTCCTCACTTTTCACTTTAGTGAAGTTAAGGAACTGAAGCTCAAGCTGGGTTTCTGTCAGATTCTTTATATGCAGGTCTAAGATAGGGAAACGGTTCTGTTGCAATACTATCTGAGCCAAACAATTTTTAAGCAATGCCATTTACACAATATCCAAATTAGTCAGAATCTTTCAAAAACAGGTACTGATGAGGTCAGCACTGCGGAGAAAACGTAAGTATGAGATCTTTGCCTCAATGCTCTGCTTGTTTCAGTTGTTTATCAACAGCTAAAGGGATAACAGACATGTTTGTGTTTAGGAGTTTGCATACAGCCATCATGCTGTATGTGCCACATTGTGAGAGGATACCGTTGTTATACTTGGAGAAATAAACCAAACACTGACCATGAACAGATACACATTTTTCTCATCCATAAGCTTGATTTTCTTTACATAAACCACTGAACTGTCCATTGCACACAAGTAGGAAGCAATAGGTTGGGTTTGCTGGAGCTAAATGTTAAGGGGTTAGGGTTATTCTAATCATTTCAATACACCTTTTGACTTATACTGAGGGTGGGAAAAAACATTTTTTAAGCTTTTTTAGCAGATACCTTAGGGTTGGCGGTTAAAACTGACCAGTGTATCCAACCATTTTATGATAATAACCTTTTGTAAGAAAAAACAAAACAGTCTAACCTAAAGTATACAACCTTATTGCCCGTTATGTAAAATGAGCTTTCCTCTATTTACCACAGTTGTCTCTATAGGCTTCATTAGTTAGTTCATGAGAAAGCAATTCAGGGCAAAATTGTCCCGCTGTGCATGTGAATCTGTTCAAGATAGCATCTGTATTTATTCTAACTTTTTTTTTACCCCAAATGAAATTAGGCCTCTATAAAAAAAGACCAAAGCAGTCGCAGCAGCAGAATGAAGCGTGTTTTCCTTTTCTCCTGTGCACGAATACAACCCTGGTGTCTTTTTTTTTTTTTTTTTTTACATCTTTTAACTGCTTTTAGATATATTGATTGTCAAGCACAGGTTAGGGGGTAGAATTAGTGGCGGCACTACTCAAAGTCTATAGTAGGAGATTCCTCTGTCATAAAACAGGACAGATGGACCCAGTATTCAAGGGGAGGCAGTTAGTAGGAAAGATTAAAACGTTTTTTTGAAATAAACTTAACAGAACAGAAATTGCATTGTCTGCAGGAGGGAGGCGGGGCATCGCCCAATCACTGACATTTTTGGTTTAACAGTTCAGTTCAAACTCTACGAGGAAGGCAGGATCCACCTGATAGACTACCAACGTCATGCAGCCCTAAGAAGCCCAGAGTGTCCCCGATGCAGCAACCTTAGTAAACAGGCAGAACTCTGATCCAGGACATGGATACAGATGAGACAGGAATAGTTCTGGAATCCAGGAGTCTGCAGTCATGGGTTCCGATCCACACAGGAATGGACAGATCCAGGTTCCAGGATCTCACAGAGTGTGAAGGCAGGTTCAGAATGCGTCAAGCAACCTGCTCAGACAGAAATGCACAGATGTAGACAGGCAGAATCCAGCAGGAGTCCAAAGGTGGTTAGGGCGAACAGATCAGACGGGCTCAGACAGGACCAGTGGGTGAGAGGGAACAGAATTAGAAAATCAGACTCACTAAGGAAACGCTGAAACGCCCTCATCAATGTCTAGGGAATAAACCTGCCTTAAGAGACTGGCTTGAGAATAACCTCCTCACTGGAACGGGGACATGAAACTTGTAATAAACCAAACTAACAAAACAGAACCTAAAAACATCAAACAGGAAAAAAATCTAACAATGATCTGGCCGTAACAGCTGGGCTGAGCCGAATATAAAGCAGAACCAGTAGGTGGATGAGATGAGTGATAATTAGGAACCGGGCAGAGTTAAGCAGGTGAATGACAAAAAAAAATGAAAGTGAGTAATCAGGACAGATCATGACATTCTCAAAAACAATGGATAAAAAGGGGACCAGACTTTGACATATCTTTTTTCAGGACCTCAGAGAGTGAATCTTCTTTAAATCCCTACATCCCTTATCCCATGTGAGAAGGTGAAGTTGGACCTTTCCATCTCAATAAAATATCCTTCCTACCAATTAATGATGACAATTTCAGCGTTCTATGCTTATCACATGGTAGGGTCATGTTTACCAAGCCTCTGACCTTATTTAAGTGTGTGAATTTTGTAAAAACAAAAAACAAAAAGAGATGTGTCATAAATCAACAGTTAAATGAAAAAAAAAATGAAAAAGTTCATACTTGCTGATCACCCCTTATACCCCTGTGTAATTTCAAATTGTCACCAGAGAGGGCACACATCTGCGGAAACTGTGAAACTTGTGCCATTCACCTTTAAGACTAATAACACACCTTTAACACCAGAAGTCTGTTCGGAAAATTTTGGGCTGAGTCAAGCTTTTTGGCAAACTTGCTAACCATTTCAATTTCCGTGCACGATAAGGCAAAAATATACAAAGGCTTGGAATAAAAATGAGTGTGTCCCATCTGGCTAAAGTACTAGAACAATTTGACATAGCTTTGGAGTCAGTGGGTCACATGACCTGGAAGCTGTTCAAGAAATATCAAATATTTTTGTAATAATTTTTTTTTTTAAAATATAAAGGCTTAAAATGGAATAAAAATAAGAGTGCCCCATCAAGCTAATGTAGTAAAACAATTTCACAAAGAACTTGAGTTGGTGGGGTCACATGACCTGAAAGCTATTAAAGAAATATAATTTTTTTGTAATAAGAAACATTTTTAAACATTAACAAAGGCTTAAAATTTTATAAAAATGAGTGTGCCTCATCAGGCTAATGTAGTAAAAAAAATTCACAAAGAATTTGAGTCAGTAGGTCACATGATCTGGAAGCTAATGAAGAAAAGTCCCAACTTTTATCTTTGAAAATATCTTAAAAATTTAAATAACTAAAAACTTCATAAAAGCAAGTGTGCCTTACATATGTTATTTATTGGCTTGATTTTATATTAGTTTCGTCTCAGCTGGTCATAAGATAAGGAATTTATAGATTTTTGTTTCTTAAGAGTGCTTGATTCAAAGATTCGTTGATGGTCCCTAACTGCATCACCGCATGTGGGAGGAGAGAGCAGCTGGGAGACGCTTGCCAACATCAGAGTCCCTCAGTCGGATCAACCGTTAGCTAGATCCCCTTGACTCCACGGAGCTTGAAATATCCAACAACCAACTTCAAACCAACTTCACCGCAGAGATAACGGCTTGGTTCTGCTGCACTGTAGTCGACCAAAATCCTGTACGATTTTGAAATTCCCCCCGGACATTTTTTTAGGTTTGAAAAGTAGGACATGTCTGGGAAAAAGAGGACATCTGGTCACCATACGTCTGCTTCACAGACTAAAACTGGTAGTTGGTTCCACAGGAGAGGAGCCTGATACCTAAAATATCTGCCTCCCATTCTACTTTAAGAAATCAAAAATAACACCAAGAATTTGGACTTTATTATGGGAGATTTTAAAGAGTTTCAGAGTTTATAAGACTCTGGTCCAATACAAAACCTTCTGTTTTGTCTGCATTCAGAAGCAGTGAGTTAAGAGTCATCCAGGTTTTTTATGTCTTCCAGACATGTCTGTAATCTATGCAATGGATTAGATTCATCTGGATTTATAGACAGATATATCTGAGTATCATCAGCATAACAGTGGAATTTTATCCTGTGATGTCTAATAATTCTACTAATTGGGAGCATATATATGGTAAAGAGAACTGGCCCTAGCACCGATCCCTGTGGTACGCCACAGAGAGACCCTGGACCATGAGGAAGATTTACCATTAATGGGAACAAACTAAAATCTGTCAGATAAATACGATTTAAACCGGCCTATTGCTTCTAAATATGTAAAACAATGACTATCTATATAATAGAATAGAATAGAATAGAATTGAATAGAATAGAACTGTTAGGTTTGTGGAGGTTAGATAAAGATCCAAGGGCAGGGACGGAGGCAGCTGATGATTCAGAGATGGAAATGGCAAGAGCAGTACCAACCCACAGTGAACAGGCACAGGAATCACACCTTGGAACAGCACAGGAGATAATGAAGTAAGACGACAATAAGACAACGGAAACTAGCAAAAGGAGGTAGAAATATAAAAAACTTTGATTCAAATGGCTGTACTTCATTCCAAGTGAATTAGATGTATTATAAACAGAGATGGCAAAAGTACTCACTTTCCGTACTTGAGTTAAAGTACAGATACTTGTGTTAAAAAATACTCTGGTAAAAGTGGAAGTACTGATTAAACTTCTTTACTCAAGTAAAAGTAACAAAGTACAGGCTTGTAAATTTACTTAAAGTATAAAAGTAAAAGTAGAAACCACTTTTTTCATGCCGTTGCCTACATTTTAAATGGATGTCTGCCAATAGGACTAGATCTGCGTTGTGTTCATTTTCAATCATCTCGTCGTCCATACTACTATGCCAACGCCACCAAGCTGCAATGATTTGCCGCCAATGAATACCGCCGAATCTGTCGATTCATCTTGTAGTGGTGCGTCAAATGCAACGTAGATTCCCATCCAATTAGATTGAATTTGGTATTGATGACGTGAAAAATAATAACGGTAACTCCATTGAAATGATTCAAAACTAAAGTAGCGAGCCAATTTTTTAAAATGTAAGGAGTAGAAAGTACAGATATTTGTGTAAAAATGTAAGGAGTAGAAGTAAAAAGTCGCCATAAAAATAAGTAGTAAAGTAAAGTAAAAATATCAGAAAAATCTACTTGAGTACAGTAACGAAGTATTTGTACTTCGTTACTTCCCATCTCTGATTATAACTTATAGTTATAGTGAATCCAAGACAAAATCCTTTAAATAAATCAAAGGTTATTTAAGAACCATAAACCCCTGGAACACTAAAGAGAGCAAAGTTTAAATTTAATACAATAGAGAAGCTAAAAGGCTTCTCAAAGGAACTTTGATAGAAAGTTGAGACATAAATTAGCTTGTTATGTTATAATGGCAGGAGTCAAAATAACTTTTTTGTTTTTGAATCTTAGAATGCAAGCCAGTTTTAGAGCACAATGGTGGTACCACCAGGCTGTGGGGTTAAAGTGCATTGGACACGGTGCATAA